TGGTTTTATAAACATAATGTCACAAACATTTAGGGATCCCTTCCAGACATGGTGAAGGATAAATTAACCACTTTCAGAATTATTTCCATCTGCTTTAGTTAGTTTCTGATTTTTGGATCTACACTGGAACTGCAGGCCACCCAGAGACCAGCTCTGAAGCTCTGAGTTACAAACAGGCACCTATTCTGGAAGAATCTGCAGCAGAACATGTCTTTCCAAGTTTTACCGAGGTTTTATTTATGCTTCAGATTTACAGTAGAACAGTTCATATCTCATATAGTTCCAGTTTGAAGGACGAACTGGAGCTCTATCAGGTTGGATTCTGCATGTGACTTTGGCCCCATTGTTGGATCTTTCAGAACATATCTGACACTCTGCAGGGTCTGATTCTCCATCATAGAGAGCAGAACATCTGGAAAAATAGAACACTTTCTCCACTGGTTTCACTGGTAAAGCTTCCCGGTTGACAATGTTGTGAGAGATCCTCCTGAACAGCACCTCCAACTGAATCAGTTCGTTTTCACAGTTCACCTGTTCAACATTTTTAACTAAATTCAGAGTCCCAACATGAAATAGTTTCTATTCATTCATCAATATATTTAAAGGATAAAGTCAGATGTAGGAAGTCATGTAAGTAATGACGTCATATGGATCATGGAAACTGCAGCATGGACTAGGAGACTTCATGTTTTCATATCCATGTAGAAAAATAAAGATTAGATCCACCATCAGAGCTCAAGCATTCATATTCTCAGATTAAAGCACAGCAGCTGTTGATGCAATGTCAAGATTATGAATCTAGTTTTATTAACTAGCTGAAGCTATAGAGCTGAATGAGAGATGAGAATGAGAGTTTGTATGTCAGTAAACAACTGTGTCATCAGCATAGAGTGAGAGATGAATAATGAACTTTCTGACACACATTATTAATATAAATTGCAAAAGCTGTAGGTCCTAATATGGAAACTTGAGGGACACCTCTTGTGAAATTCAGGTATCAGGAAGAAGCCGAGCTGAACACACTGATTCCAAGAGTTTCCAGGAGAGTTTGACACTCAGTTGATTTTAGTCGGTCTGAAGAATCCTGCAGTCTGTGATCCAGTAGCAGTCCAGTTGTTACGTGTGGTTGATAACTAGCTTTGTAATGCTTTTAAAAAACTCATGTTCAACATTTTATGATCATGGTTTTACAGACCCAGGTTTACTTTTGGGTCTTTGACTTGAGGACGTTTTGTTTTTGTCATTAAAATGTATTTCTTACTGGGAAGCCTGAAAAGGTTTGGCTGAATTTGGATTCTTTGAATCAGTAAGAATTTGGAACAACACGGGTGAAAAAGCTCCTCTAAATTAAAAATGATCTCTGATGGAAATATACTGAAGGAGGACAGATATTGTCATGGCAACAACATGCCCCTTACCTCTAAAGGGATTTCCTGTACTTAAAGGGAACTTCTGCCAAAAAGTTCAGAGAACTTCTGTTTTTGTCTTTCAGAGATGAGATCAGGTCTAGATGTTGCTTGTTCAGTCATGCCACTTCTAACACATTTGTGCACATGGATTTCAAATATTAATTTTAACAATACTAATAACAATATAGCAAAACAATTTTTGTTTTGTAAAATATAGTAAAAGTGAGGATACCCCCAGATTTAAAACTACACGCAGGTGTATCACATCAGGAGTTCATGGTAACAACATCATTCCTCAGCAATTTGAAGGAGGTTTGTCCTGTTTTAACCTCAGTTATTTAGTTTGGCGCTCCTGACTGTTGAAGTGAAAGTGAACACCATGGTGACATCTAAAGATCTGATCTGAGGCCTTCAGAGAGAAGATTGTTGCAGCTTATGAGTCTGGCTCAACAGAATTTAAAATCGCCTGTTTCACTGTACAGAAAACAGTCTACAAATGGAGGACATTCAGAACCGCGTCCAATGATCAGGTCTCGGCGTCCAAGCAAGTTCACCCTAAGAGCAGGTCGTAAGATGCTGCTAAAAGAAGTCTACAAAAAACAGAAAATGTTCTCAGCAGGCTTATGCTACTGCTGATATGAAATTTCATGCCAATGCAACCAGAAATAGACTGGACACATTTAATTTTAACTTGAAGGTCATGCTGAGGTTTGCCAGAGAAAACATAGGCAAAAATCAGAAGTTGGGAAATATTGTTCGGTGGAAATGTGAATAATTTGGACATCAGAATAGAGGACATGTCTGGCATTTATCAAATGAAGCATTCCAGAAAAAGAATCAAGAATACCAATTTTGAAGCATGGAGGTGAAAGTGTCATGGTTTGGGGATGCTTTGCTGTAGCAAGATCCAGGCCAGCTCAGCATCTTAGAAACCACCATGAGTTCTATCACATATCAGAAGGTGTTTGAAGAAAATGTGAGACCATCTATAATGAAATTAAAGCTGAAGCAGAACTAACTGTAATGAGAAATTGTACATTTTGAATTGGAGTTAACTAAGTTCATAGTTGGGGTTCCTCAAGGCTCTTTTCTTGGGACATGTTTCCTTCAATGTATACATGCTCCTCCTAGCTGAGATTGCACAGTGCGACAGTTTGCTGATGACAACTTTATATTTCTGTGTCATCACATGACCACAGTCCGTAACAGTCACTGAGTCATTGTTCACCACATCAATGAGTGAGTGGGTCAGAATTACCTGCAGAGTAATGCACAAGTGTCAAAGACAGGTGTCATTGATTTTGGTCCCACAAATGTTGAGGAGGACATTGGCCAACTAGACACAATTAGGCTAAAAACCATAGAACACGTCTAAAACCCAGGTTTCTGAGGGATTTTAAAACCACTTGGATGGTCTATAAGGATGGTCTATATGCCTCTTAGACATATTTGTCAGGTATGACCCATGTAGACCCTTCAGGTCATGAGAGACCTCTTCACTCAGTGTTCCCAGGGTGAGAACTAAACAAGCAGCCTTTAGCAGCCTTTAGTGTCTGAGCTCCCCAGCTCAGGAACAAACTGCCTGAAAACCTGAAAGAGAGAGAAAATGTTAGCTCCTTTAAATCAGGGCTGAACACAGCATTGTTTCCTGCATCACAGGACAGAAATTAGAGCTACCATCATCTCTTAGCTGTCTCTTTTATATTTGTGGCTTCTTTCTTGTAAAATCTTAAAATGTTTGTCTCAGAAATGTTTTTATGTATTTCAGTTTACTTTCTCAAAGTATTTTGGATTATATTGTGTATGAATTGAGTTTTACAAATAAATCTGCTGTGCCTAAAATGTTTTATTATTAATAAATGTATTTATTTATTTGTTGCCTTAAATAGCACAAAAGTATTCGAGGAGGAAGGACAACACTAAAGGACCACAAGAGGGGAGCATATTGCCATATCTTAGTTAAGAAAATTTTACTATGAAAACAATATTTTAAATAAAATAAAAATGGACCAAGAGTCAATTTATGGTATTAGTTTCACATAACATAATAAATTAGTTTTCTTCAAAATAAGCAGAATAATGAGAAAACAGACAGTAGATAAGGCCCCCTCCTCCTCAACAGGAAGTTTCTTCAGCAAAAAGGTGTGAAACTTGAAGGTGATGGACAGATCTTCTATCTGAAATGTCCACAGAAGACAGAGGACACGCTGATGGTGAGTTTAGATCATGTTGCGTCAAAGAAACTCTGAGGTGTTTAATTTGCTGTCGAGTCAAATTTCATTAGAAAATGTTGGGTTTATATTTTAAATATAATATATATATAAAAATATAAATTTGCATCACAAACAGGTAATAGTGTCAATGCATTTTTTCTGAGGATGATTCATATTAAAATTGTAAGTTTTAAAGTTAAAATGTTCATTTATTTGAATAAAGACTTCAGCCAGTTTTAGATAAAGTTAATTTAAAAATGATTTTTTTCAATCATTTAGTTCTCATATAAATTTCCCTTATTCGCATATCTGTAAACTAATTAAACTTTCCTCCTCTGAGTATTTATTGAGCTGAACTGAAGGTCTGTATTGGGTCAATAAACCTCTAAATGTGTCCAATTTAAAGGACACACATGAACCTGATAAACATGAAGAAAAATAAAATGATTTCTTGTCCCCAAAGATCAGAGCTGTCCCAGTGAAGTGTCCCCATGATGAGACGCCCACAGAGCTGTGAAGAAGGTAAGAAGGTGAATGTGATGATAAATCAGCAGGAAGGTGAAGAAGCAGCTGCTGAGTGGTCTTCATCAGACAAACAACCATACTGAACACAAACATTTAACATCTGAACTGGAAGAAAACAGCTTCATCTGAGACTACAGGCCAACTTGTTCAAAAGGGAACAGAAACCCACAAATTTATACTCTTAAAAAAGTTCTCACTCCAGTTTTTAATCTGACAGCAAAACAGCCCCCTTTCTCACAGGACTGGTGTCATCATACTGGTCTCCAGTCCATCTTAGAATCCAGTTCAAAAGTTCATCATATGGGTCCCAGCCGACCTCAACATCCTTCCCGTGTAGACAGAACGCTGAGGTCCTCACGTAAGCAGGGGCTGAACATCCCCTCATGCAGGATCAAATCCAGCGGCGCTGAATGGATCATTTCTCAGTTTAAATGTTCATCATTTATTTATCTTGGCCCATTTTGTGGCAGATTTACTTATTTATCCGATTAGTTTTTGATTTATGTTTATTGTTAATGTAACAATGATTTTAAGGCTCATTCAGCCGCTGAAGTCAGCTGAGGACATTTTAAATGTGCTCCAGTTAATCCTAATAATTATACTCTGTGTTCTCCTCCAAACACTCCAGGTCTCTAATCTGTAGGACAATCTACCAGAACATTAGGGCTGCCCAGATAATTAATCATTACCTTTAGTCCCAACGAAACAGCATTCTGGTTTTTATTCAGCAAACTATAATTTACTGTTTATTTTTCCGTTTGTTTTTTGTTTCATTTGATTTTTTATTATGTTTATTGCTGATTTTAAACTTTATCTTGGGAACAGGTAGATGTTTGTAAATGATTCAGATGATCATCAGGTGGTGCTGTGGGTAGCACTGTTGCCTTGCAGGAAGAAGGTCCTGGGTTCAAATCCTGGCCTGAGGTCTTTCTGCATGGAGTTTGGATGTTCTCTCCATGCATGCATGGGTTCTGCTTAATAGAGATTCTCCTCTTGATGCTCCTGAGGTGAAGCTGCTGACTCTCAACATAAAAACCCAAACAGAACCTCCAAGCTGCCATCAGAGAGAGTAGTCCTGCTGGTTCTGGGCTCCTTGCTGGCTGCTGCTCTCATCATCGTCTTCAGACTCTGTGAGTCCTTCCTGATGGATCTGATCTCACAGATGTTATTTTCTGTCAATAAAATGAGCTCAAGGATATTCTGGCTTAAAAACAATCATTGCTCCATTCAACACCCGTGAGGTTTGAACACACTTTTGTATTTTGTTGTATTAATTGATGACAAACTTGAAGTTGGAGGTTTGGATGAATAAATAAACTCAGGTGAAAAGGTGAAAAGTCTTTTTCAGAAGGTAAAGGAAGGAGATGGTGCATTTAAGGTCCAGCTGGACCTTATTAAACTAACTAGAATTAAATTTTCACATTTAATCTATCTCTGCAAATCTGAATGAATGTTTTTGTTTTTAGAAACACCTAAAATATTTGTTTTCACATTATTCTGAATAAAATGTAATTTTTATTCTATTTCACTGCTTTTTGCGTTTAATATCAAGATGGCTGAAATCTTGAAACATCTAAAAAACGTCGAGTTTCTAATGCATCAACCAGAGAAAGCCCCTTCGAGGATCTGAAGGATTTTCATCCAAAGAAATGTTTTATTCACACGCTTCTTTCTTTTTCTTTTTATTAGCGACTCATTTTGTGCAAACAAAGAAGAACCTGCAGAATCTGACTGAGGAGAATGAAGTCCTGAGGAGAAAACTTGCAGGTTGGATATTTTAGTTAGTACATCTCTGAGATCTGGAATAAATGTTCAGGAAAAGATTTTATTCACTGCGGCTCTGAATCCAGACTTCTTCATTCTCCCTGATACAGGCATTAATGTGCAGAAGAGTTTGTGTTTTTACAAAGAATATTTCAGTTGAAGTTATTCTGAGGTTAGTAAGCATGAAATAACTCATGAACCAGACTGTCAATCAGAGACATTTTAGTCTGACTTTGCTATAGGAGCCTGAGGACACGTCTCCTCTCTGAAAACATGGCCATTCAAGCTGGAGCTGCATGTCGAGATACCTGAAAATCCTCCCTAAAAACTCAGGGGGCGGAGCTCCTGCCAGGTGTTTCTTCAACTTTATGCAGCATCTCTGAGACTCACATCTATATGACATGATCTGGTTTTATCCTTTTTTTTTTTTTTTACTTTTTACATTTTTTAATCATGTTTCCAGATGTGAAGTAAATTATGCTTCAACATATTTCTTATGTAGTGGGTCTGACCTCCTCTCAGACATCTGTACAGTCACACTTGTCTGAAGAGGACAAGCAAGGACTTGGAGGAGCTGATCCTCATCCCAGCTGCTTCACACTCGGCTACCAACCCGCCCAGTGTATGCAGTAGGTCCTGGTTAGAGGGGCCAGCAGGACCACGTCATCTTCAAAAAGAAGAGATGAAATCCAACGGTCCCCAAACCAGACGCCCTCCAGGCAGCCCTTGGCTGTGCCTAGAAATCCTGTCCATGAAAATTATGAACAGGATGGGTGACAAAGGGCAGCTCTGCCGGGGTCCAACATGCCCCAGGAACGGGTCCGACTCAGGACCTGCTCTGGATGGCCCCTAACAAAGGGCCTTGGACTCACTACTCCTGGAGGAGGTCCACAAAGCACATGTGGACCTGTACAGTTGTCTAATTTTACCTGCTCCACAATAAATGAAAAATGTAATAAGGAAAGTAGAAAAGAATAAATGATTGTAGGTCTCAGATGTTTGCAGAATTACACTGTGTGACCCACCATCGTCAGTGTTGACAGCAGCATGGGTTGGTTCCTCTCATCCCTTCCTACCTCTGGTTTGGACCTGTTAAACCATTTTAATAGCATGGAGCGACAGTGAGAGGAAATGACTCCCGTCTGACAGTAAACCTCCAGCAGAGTCCAGCTCAGTGCCGAAACCAACTGGTGGTTTCAGTAGGGCAATGATTATAAAACACACTTCTGGTTCCACTTATTTTGGTTCTGATCTCCAGTTTCTGAGAGCAGGACCCCAGATCAGACCCAGATAACTCTAAGCAGCCTTCTGCTGGGGGCAGCACAGTGATGCAGTAACTAGCAACAGGCTGCTGGGTCTTTCTGCGTGGAGTTAGCATGTTCTCTCTGCAGGAGGAGCCTCTTAGATCATTCCCTCAGTGCAGGATTTATCTGAGCTGAGTTTTACCAGCTGCTTCGTTATTTGAAAGGTTCTTGTTTAAATGAAAGTCCGATCGTTTCTTCTTCTGAACAAACCATTTCTTAATCAGCCAGATTTATTCGAGTGGCAGACATCTCAGTTCACAAAACTTCAGACAGTGGATAAGCAAACGTTTAAACTAAGGATGCACTGATATGAAAGTCTGGGCCGATATTAATATGACCGCTAACAGATATTATATTTACTTCTCTACCCTTTCAACACCAGGATAAAAAGACCAAACCGCTGACATTTCTTCTCTGCTTCAGTTAAACTTCCACCAACCCTGCAGCCCATCACGGTTACAGGACCAAACAGATACCAATGAACATCTGCTGTTAATGTCGGCCCAGTTTTACTTATCGGACCGATACCGATGTTGATGCAGATAAATCTCTAGTTTAAAGCTCCAAACTCTTCATCTCTTCGTGGAGACCATCCCTTTGAATTCCAAACATTTCTCTAAAGCAGCTCGTATCCAGAACCCAAAAATCCAGTCTGGTCCTAGATCAGTTTTGGATCAGAATGGTTACCTGAAGGTACTCTCAGAAGTTAGCAGAACAGACATGGAAGGTTTTGTCTTTATTTGGTTTGGTTCTGGATCTCCACATTAAAACATGTGTTGCAGTGTTTGAAGACGGGCCATCCTGTGAGAACAGCTGGGTCCAGTTTGAAGGAACATGTTATTACTTTTCCACAAACCAGTTTTCCTGGGAGGAGAGCAGGAGTAGATGCAGGGAAGCAGGAGCAGATCTGGTTAAGGTCGACAGCAGAGAGGAGCAGGTCTGGAACATGTTCTTCTGGATCACATCTATTTAATCTGATCAGGAGAACAAATGAAGTCAGATCTTCACGTCTTCTCTCCAGTATTTCCTGAGGAGCCACCTGAATGGGAAAATGAAGAGCTTCAACGACATGTTCTGGATCGGACTGACGGACTCAGTGGAGGAGGGGAGATGGTTTTGGGTGGACGGCTCAGAACTCAGTGAAAGGTCTGACCTTTTGTGAGAACACTAATCACTGAGAGGGTCTGAGCTTTTACTGACCCGGTTCTGTTCTGCCCCATGCAGTTTGTGGTTTTGGAGCAAACGGGAGCCAGATAACTGGACTGAGGAGAACCCTGCAGGAGAGGACTGTGTGAGGATGGGGATGGAGGGAGGAGGAGGACCGATGAACAACTGGTACGACAAGAACTGCGGCGCTGCTCAGAAGAGGATCTGTGAAAAAAACTCTGAGAGACGAGAGAAATAAATAAAATCCCAGAGATTATTTTCAAATAAAGATTAAATATGATAGAAATGTTTCATCAAATTTATACTAAACCAAGTTGAACAGTGAAAGACTCAGTCAGCCTGAGATCATCAGGAGCTTCTCAACCCAGAACATTTTTGTTGTTTAAATTGGATTTTTGCAGAACTTTGGCTGTTTTGATGCAAATGGCTTCAGATTCGGCCATGTTGTGGATTTTGTTGTGAATTAATGAGGTCTTTTGAAGGACGAAGGCAGCAGATGTTGAATTAGCTGCTTATAGAGCATTCCTCTCTGAAAAGCTGAGTAAAATGGGTCGTTCCAGATGTGGTTCTGACCGTAAACAGCTCCTCCAGAGCTACTGTCCTGCAGCTTGTAGATGCATCCTCCACATTTCTTCTAATCTGAGTGTTTTAGTAACGGCTCAGTCTCTCAAATTCCCCGCTCAGAGACAATAAAGGTTATTTCTATGTTTCTTCACTTTCTGGATAAATGAGAACAGGTTTGTGCCTGTAAATAAAACGCAACTTTATTCATGAAATGACAAATATGAAAAATTAAAAGGACAACATTCTTCAGTAATTAGAAGATTCCAGGTAATGAATGAAAACAGAACTGTGTCGCTCTTATTCGGTGATATTTATGCAATAAATTGTTTCTCTTTTTAACATAAAACAACTTTTTCTCAGCCTGATTTCTGTTGTTTCAGCTCAATTCTCTCGGTACAAAAACTGAAACTATTTTCAGTCCTGAAACATCCAGACGGACGAACTTAGGAGGAAAATCAGCTTTTTTATGCTGCAGTGTGAAAATGATGAAGATGAGTTCAGAGTTTCTGAAGCAAATTCCTCTCTGTGACGTCTGAACAGACCGAAGAAGGCAGAAAAGAAACATAAACCCAGTTTCCTCCTATATAAACATTATTTCCAAACCAAACAGAAAATAAAATGATGAAAGCTGCCTTCTTGGTTCAGTCTCCTCCCTGTTCCCACACGGTTCTGATCCATTTATTCCCTCACGCTCCTCCTCCGTGTCCCTCCTGCAGCTCTCTGACGGCGAGGGATCGAACGATGGCGGCATCCATCGTGCCGCTGTCCAGCGGCGTCAGCGAGAACCACAGAGGGCTGCTGGGAAGGCAGCGGTGATCCGGCTGCATGTAGAAGACGTCGCTGCGCTGCTTCACCGACTCTGAGCTGAAAAACAGGAAACAGTTCAATTAAACTAAAAACAGCCAGCAGCAGCGACTTTTCAGGAAGTTCAGGAACGACCTTTCAGCTCCTGAGTTCAAATGAAATTCATCTAATGATCAAAGTAAATGCTTTGCTATTTGAAGCAGTGTTGAAGGTTGGTGTTGTGCAGGTTCTTCCTCACTCGGACATTTTCCAGGCTGATTAGTTTCCAGGTTTATTTGAGGTTTGGTGAGATTCAATAAATAAGAGAGAAGCACCATGCTGCA